TTAGTTTTTCATTAAAATAAATGAATAAATAAAGGTTTTAATTAAGAAAACAATAACAAAATCAAAGCCCACGAAAGGGAGCGATTAAATGAGACAAACATTTAAGGAGTGATCATATAATGGACAGCAATTGAAAGCAAAGTGAGAGAAACAAAAGCAAACAAAAAGTGCTAATCAATGGTATGTTTTCACCTTTTTCTTGTCCCGCATTGAACCCCTTCCGCGAACCATTATCTTACAGCCGGTCTCCTGTTCTAACTGTTTGGCTGTCATACCTCTCGGGCCCAGAATTCTGCCCACAAAGTTGTACTGAACGTCACGACAACAACCATCACATCACATGAAAGAGACAAATATTAGGCATTAATTTATATTCGCATTGAAAATCGTAAAACAGATGATAAGATCAATGAGATGTTAAATAATTCAAATGCATTAATGAATGAATAAATGATTGAATGGATGAGCGATTAATGAGTGCATACTTCTGGGTGTTCCTCCACCGGGACGTACACTTTCTCCTGACGCGAGACTGCGGGCCCGTCCGCCTCCGGCAGCGCCAGTGGCTTCTTCTCGACGCCATTGATTTGAAATAAGTTTTGTCTCACTTTATTGATCTCTGAAATGGTAATAAATTATTATATGATATGTATTAAGACATAAATAAGTCGAAACCCGAAAATCTAAAGCATTTGCTAAATAAATCAAAAACACAAGAATCTGGAGAAAGAGCGAGAGTTAAGCCATAAATAAAAATGAAAATAATTTTGTTTTTGCTTTTTTCGGAGAGAAAATAGTTATTCAGTTCAACACAACTCGAGAAAAGGAGAGGAAAAAAGTATATAAGTTTAAAAAAATACTTTTTCACTCAAAACAAAATCAAATACACTGTAGATATTCTCCTTAATTATAGAGTCAAATGTATAGTAAATCATTGAATTTATATATAAAGTTGGGGCAAAACTACACGTCAAGAATTTTCTAACGGCAACACAAAAACGCATACAATATTTCTCTCAAATCATATACAAAATCAAATTGTTTTGCATCTTAAGGATAGTCCGCCAAATAAACCACAACTCTATTGTAATTTAAATCAATTCTCAAAACCAATTGTCTAAAAATATAATAAAAGCAAACAATGACTATTAGTTTTTATTATAAGCGCAACGAATAATCACTTCATTATAACGAATACAATACATTATTTTACACAAAAATTAAAACTAGTTTTTCCAATGCATTGAATCCTTTAATAATAACCACAAAACTCTTCGACAAAATAATAGAAATACATAACAAAACAATACTGTTATACAAATAGCAAGTATTGAAAAATCATTTCCTATTCACACCATTTGACACGAGAAGGAAAATATCATAATTGAATTATTCAGTAATTTTGAATATTTACTAAACAAAACATATAAATATATTGTTAACTAAATTATTGGCGAATTATATGCGAAACACGATTTGCATTACAAAACATAATTTGAAAAATTAATTTATTGTTGAAATAATTGTTTAACACATTGTGTTGAATGAAAATTCACGATTGATGAGAGACTAATCAGCTATCAATACAGTAGACTATCGTCATTAGTGACCACTGATTTTAACACAAATCTATAAGAAATTACTCAAAATAGCAAATATCGTCAATTTATTAACCATTATTACGGGAATACCATTAACACAAAACCTATAAATAAACCCCTATTTATACTATCATTACTAAAAACATATTTCCACAAATTGTATTCATAACTACAGGTATTGAAAGGCAATTTCAAAACTTCAAAATCCAATTAAACTTCAACGCAAAAGAAATGCAACAAAACTTTTGATAACAAATCCAATTGATAAACACTAGAACTAGTATACAATGTATTGCTATTTAAACTGTCATTTTGTCATTTCTATCTAAATTACAATCATTACTATAAAACACGTTATCGTCGTAACGAAACAAACCCGGAGAGTAAACACAATGTAACGATAGTTAACTGTACGGCCAAACAAAAAAGTCCATAAAAAATAATTATTAATAGCAATAGCCATGAATTTGATGTATGAGAAACACAACACAACAGGTAATATCAAACAATGTATAATAAATATATGTGTGTTTATATACCGTTTCCCAACCCATACCATAAGTGTTGTTATAAAATACTGTTGATTAGGGCTTTTGTTATCGGGAGGAAAGGTATAACACAATTACTAAAAGAGTTGTATAAAGGGGTCGGGCGTTGAAGGCTGGGGGGGAGAACCTATCGTCAAAGCAATGCATTTATAATTTGGTACATCAAATATGAGCCGATAAAACACATTTGCCAACAAATCTACCACTTTTTTGGCCAACATCTCTGCCAACGATTGGTATCCGCAGCGAAACCACAAGACCTACGAGTGCTTTATGTCAACACCAGATATGTTTCGACAGTTTCGGCAAACAATACGCGCTCTGTTTTAACAATATTAGCGATAAAACAGACTTATCGTTATTATAGCGACTAATAATAAAACATTACAGATATTACAATATAGATAAACCCAATATTAGTGTTAATAATATTATTATAATAAAATATATATGTATTTTAATCACAATCGCGTGGTATTTAATACATGGTATTTACGAGTGGCCTCTCAAGAGTGTGTAACCGAAATCTCAAATACAATATATTTTGTGTTATCACAAGTGATATGAATTAAT